GAGAGAGAAAGAAAGAGAGAGAGAGAGAGAGAGAGAGAGAGAGAGAGACAAAAGAGTGACTTTGCCTGGAAACCTCAAAAACCTATTTACGATTCATATTAGTCATACCATGCTGTACGGACTGGCACACTCTTTATATCATGTCACAGTATCGTTGGTGAATAAGATAATCATACGCCTGGTCTTCTAACAAGGGTACCAGAAGAAAGAAAACACATTTGAAAGGAGCACTCTGAAAGGAAACGTACCTAGATTGAATCATTTGTTATAATGTTCACGCTGGTAGGTTTTTACATTAAAAAAAAATCGTGATGACTGATTGTAACCTGACGAGCGTGGGTGCTTAGAAGCTCAAAAACATGTTTGTCGAATAGATTTTTTCGACTAAAATTACAATAGAAAACTTTTTAAAGTGTAAGCATGTCCAAATTTGGGTACTAATTCGTTCCTCTTTGATACAAACATTTCTCGTTAATATAATATACGAGAAAAACTCAAACAGACATACATCTGAAGTGAGAAATTGAAACTTTGGACATTGATATTTTGGATGAAACATAAATCGTAATAATAAAGTAAACTGTTTAGAAAACATTTTCATATATATGATCAAGAATATTAACGTAAACTTGAGACAATTTGTTTGTCTATTCCCCCATTTCCTCCTCCGTTAGACATACTCTCAACACCCCTATTCACACACTACTACCCCCCCCCCCTCCTCACCATGCGACGCACGACACATATAGACGACACATACACACCATCCAACCCCACTTCCACTGTTCCTAGCCTCCCCAGATGTTATGAATATTTTCTCAAACATTATGGGGCAATTGTCATTCAGTTTAAGTTTCTTATGTTAGCATAAATTTCCTTAGATTTAGATTTTAATACATAAGCACATGTTTAACAATTATAATAAAACGAAACTCGAATGTAAAAGTCCAAAACATAATCAAATAACGGCTGGGAATCAACCAAAGCCTGGCATTTTCTTACCCCCCCCCCTTAATAACTTGTTTACATTAACAAAAGAAGATTTTGAATTGTCTAGATTCGCTAAAGTGTAGTAAGTAAAATGTACTCAGATGCAATGACAGTTGATATATATTGAAGCCCCCCCCCCCCTTTCGTCATTTACACTAATTTCCCTCTGTCTAGGAACAGACTAAGGTCTCCACTTGTTGAGTGGAATGTCCAGGCCACCTTATCAAGTGATACTATTTACGTCATAATGCCTATCAGGACCGACTCACTGAGCAAGAGATATGTATTCTTTTGTTTGGTTGTTAGCTCTAGCTATATGTATTTCCACTGGTTTCGTTTTAAGATCCCATGATCCAAATGACTTGCATCAGGGACCTGCTTAGTGTCACGTCACCAGACGGTGAAATACAGCCCCACGTACGCAGCTAATGTCTTTCATTTCATGCGGGTTACCCGTCACTTTTACATGCAAATCTGATGGAACAAAGTACATTTGTGCAAAGGGAATCTGCATTAGATTGAATTCTAGAGCATTTTCTTGGACACACTGTATGTTTTGGCATCTGTCAAACCGGATTCATAACCAAGAGACAAGCTCTGTTCTTATCTTGTGAAAGAGACATTGTAAACGCCTTTATAACAAGTTCTAGAATAGACCTCTCATGTCACTTGTTGCAAATTGGACTGGTTACATTTGTTCTGAGTAGTGGACTCGACGCCTCAATCCATGATTCATTTCGCATTTAGCAGGATCTACGCAAACAGTGAGTATAATATATAATTGTTGACTCGTATACATCTAAATTGTGTTGTTCCAAGAAATATTGGATATACGTATGAAACATCATCTAGTTTGACTCGGTTCCCCCAAATAGCAAATAGGATAGGGGACTTTGCATTTAATGAACCTATGTAAAAAAAAAAAAAAAAAAAGGGTCTTTCCATTGAAGACTTGTTGTTGTTGTTGATGATCATGGTGATGATTCGTGATCTCATGTCGTTTGTCTCTTTTCCTTTTTTTTTTTACCTCTATACGTTGATTGTAGTTTTTACAGTATCTGCAGTTGAATTGTCTATTCTTCTTAATTTCTTAGTCCTAATTGACACTAGACCTTTTTATACAACATGTTAAAGAGGACGAAAATCTGGAATTATGTGACAGGTGCCCCTGTGCCCCCCCCCCCAACCAAACACGGATCCGCCACTGTTGCAGTATATTCGGGAGAGGAAATTTCTTGACATTTTTACCTCTGACAAGTTTACCTCTGACATTTTTCATCATCAATAGTGATATGTCAGTTCATGATAGGTTCAGTGACCCAATCAACATTGTATATCAAGTGTCACATCAAGTTCCTCGGTCTTGAGTCATCCGTATCAGCGTTTCATACCCTGTTGCTCCACATTCTTTGATTACATCGTCTAGAAAGTATTTACTAGGTCTTCCCCTCTTCCTCTTTCCATGAATACGACCTTGTATGACTCTGAGCATCAATCCCTCATCATGCCGCATTTTGTGTCCAAGCCTTTTCTTCTGTCTCTCTCTAATCGTTTGAATCAGCACCCGCTTTTCTTCAGCTCAACGCAACACTTCTTCATTCGAAACTCTGTCCCTCCAAGACACACCTAGTAATTTGCGCCAGCACCACATTTCGACCGCCTCCAATCGCTGCATGTCCTTTTTAGTGAGTGTCCACGTCTCTGCCCCATGCAGCACATTATTATCTCTGACATCTTTACCTGGCACCCCAAGCCAATACAATCCAGATATTTATAAAGCGCCAATATCTAGTTACCTAATCAAAGGCGCAAATGACACTAACAAACTACCAAAAACGTATGTTTATGATTCACCCAAATCTATATGTAATATAGAGCAACATCTAGCGATTTAATTGTAATTTGATGTTTTAAGACAAACAAATTTTCTTGTTTTCTACACCAACATACTAAATTCGTAACATCATCGTCTCAACAGTTAGAAGTCGGCACATATTTTAGGGAATAAATATGTTACATAGCTTTAATGTCGTACCTATGTTATTAGAGAGAATTATTTGTATCAAAGCAGAACGCAGTAGTTCCCAACTTTGTATAAATAGTGTTCCATTGTATTATTTTACTCGAAAGAATCGATTCGACAAACAAGGGCGGATCCAGCCGGCGGCAGGGGAGGGGGCCCAATTCGTGAGAAAATATTTAGTGGCGAAACAGCTAGCCGGAGAATAATTTTGCCCCCAACAATCGAAGATCGCACCCCCCCCCCTCCCACTTGAGCACCAGGGGAAGGGGCCCGTCTTCAAATAAAGGTAAAATTAACGTGTTTTTACCTATTTTTTCCCCAGGGGAGGGGCCCTCACTGGATCCGCCACTGTCGACAAACATGTTTTTGAGCTTTTAGGCACCCACGCTCCACAGGTTTAATTCAATCAGTGATCATAACAATAATTCTTTAGTGTAAAACCTACCAGCGTGAACATCGTTACAAATGATTTCAATCAAGGTACACTTCCTTTCAGAGTGTTACTTTCAAATGTGTCTTTCTTTCATCTGTTACCCTTGTTAAAGCCCAGGCGTATGAAATATCTAATTCACCTAAACCTATGAAATATCTAATTCACCCTGACATGATATAAAGAGTGTGCCAGTCAGTATCATGGTATGAGTAATGGGGATCGGACATAGATTTGTGTGGTTTCCAGACAAAGTCACACTTTGAATTTCTCTCTCTCTCGTTGTCTTAAATAATTCTTCAAAATATAATTCTTTTTCATCATAACATAATAATTGTATTCACTTTATACATGTACAATTCTCAAATTACGATATAATTTTTTGCTGAATGGAATCTGTTATAATATGAAGCAAACTAAAACCCTTTCTTTCTCTTGCTGCCCAACCCCAAACAAAACACCATCCCATACAAAAGTCTTGCAAAAGAACACACACACACGCACCACAACAATGCGTTCCCATTTACCCACGCTCACAACCAACATGGCGGGGGACAAAAAATTACAAAGCTGAGACAAAATAAGGCTAGGCCTATATTATGCTTCAATACTTTTTTCTGCATCGTTCGAATTTCATGGACCTTATTTTAAACATTGTAGGGAAATTATCGTTCAGTTTAAGTTCTTAATCTTTTAACATTATACATTTCCTTAGATTTTGATAATAATAAATAAGCAGATGTATAACAATTATAATAAAACGAATCTCGAATGTAAACAATCGGAACATAATCAAATAGTGAGTAGGAAACCAGAGCCTGTTATACTCTTAACCCCACCCCCTCTAATAACATGTTTACATATGCAACTGTACAGGAGATTTTGAATTGTCTAGATTCGGTATAGTGTAGTTTTAAATGATTAAAATTGTGGGAAATGTACTAGTTATGATACATGATAATATTCTTTGCAAGATATTTGGTGCAGGATTTATAAAAGGTGTGCTGGCAAATCATTTAGACAGGTTCCAGCAGGTACATTTTCTTACAAGTCTACACGTTTAACAAAATGCATCGCTAATTTGGCAGGGAAAAAAACCCATTATAATTCGAGGGTTAAACCCAACAAATAGAATATTTTTTGCAATTCGAAACGTACTGCATGAAAGATGAAAGCACATGATCTGGCTAGATATGTCTCAACGTTTACTACATGTACATTTAGGCCTACTATCTGGCATTCCCAGTCGATAAACAAAAATACTCATGCAACTGCATTGCTGAATGAAACATTACGAAACGCCTCATAAATACTGAAAGTATATTAATATAATCGCCGTTAGATCGCTACTTCGTAACGTAAGTGCTAAAGAAGAAGCGTAAAGTTATTTTATTATGTTACCGGGTAGGCCCTATTAATCATGGAGTGCATTATGTTAAACATTTTTTAGTGCAAAAATAGCCAGCTGAGTATTTACAACAAATTTCACACTTTTGATTGAGTTGGCCAAGTAATTCACATATTTGTTTCTTCTTCCTCAGGTCGTGTGCTTGAGTTGTCAAAGATGGCTACTTCCTTAAAGCATGAGACTTTCCATAAGAACCTCGAGTGTCCTATCTGCCTGAGCTTCTTCAAGGAACCCAAGATCCTGACCTGCTCCCATACCTTCTGCAAGGGTTGTCTTGAGTCTCTCCTGGAGTCTCATCAAAATCTGTTGTGTCCTACGTGCAGGGAGGAGACTTCGGTTCCTGGTGGAGTCGTGGGTAGATTGCAATCAAACATAACAGTCAGATCACTTGTTGAAGATGTGGAGACCCAGGGCCAGGTCTGTACCAACAGTAATCGAGAAAACAAATCATTGGAAAGAAAATGGAACAAATGTCGAAAACATCCGAACTACGATGAAGAATGTTTTTGTGTCAACTGTAACAAGTTCGTCTGCTGCAAGTGTGGCTTATTAGAGCATGCAAAGGATGCTCACACTATCCTGGAAGCAGGCGAACATGAAACCGAGCAAAAGAATCACGTCAAGAAACTTGTATCTAAAGCGGATGTAAAGATACGCAACGTTGACAAGTATTTTACTTTCGTTGAAGACCAGCGTGAAAGAGTGCATAACATACAGGAACGACTCAATGATGAAATAGATGCGACTTTTGAGGAATCAGTTGAGAAATTGAAGGAAAGAAAGACGGTGTTGAAAAAAGAAGTTGGGTACAAGCTAGGAAAAATTAAGACTTCATTGGGAGACGTTGAGAAGTCGATTCGTAAGCAGATAGACGAGATTAAGAAGGTTCTGGACTTGGTTAAGGATGGACTTAATTTCCCCCTCCAGACAGAGGCTCTGACCGCACATAAGGCGATGTGTCAACAGCTGGAAGTGCTTCTAAACCAAATTAGGCCAGATGAGGAGCTGCCCAGAAGAACCGCTGAGGAAGGTGAAAGAATTGGCTTCAGGAGTCAGGGATCAGATGAACTCCAGTTGGGCCAGCTAACACATACCAGGGAGGTCCCTGCACATACGAAGTCTGAATTGGTTCTGCGCACGGAAGCTCCACTGCCTGCTGGAAAAATCATGCGCGGGATGGTGATATCACCAAACAATGAGATGGCAGTTGGTTGTGGAAACGGAGGAATAGTCATATATTCTCCTGAGGGCATTATACAAGGTACCGTTCTGAAATCTGTAAACGTTAGTGCCTTACACTTCATGCCTAATGGTGGATACGTCATACGCGACACTAACAACAGAATTTCCTTGTACACAGAGCTTTGTGAAAAGCTTGATGTAACGTTTGCGACAATGAATGTTGTGAATGGTAGATATGGTGGTCTCACTGTAGGCAAGGATGGGCTCATCTTTATAGGTTACAATACATGCAAGAAAATACAGGTATTTAAGCCAGAAGGGGGGAAGGCAATTAGAGAGATAATGTGTAAGGGATATGTACTAAACGAGATGTTTGCGCTGACATCCAGTCAAGCGATTGTCGTTAGTACGAGAACATCTATTTTCCACTTACCGTCTCAGGTACAAGTGATCAACGATGTGTCTGGTGCTATCATTCATAGCATCCGTAAAGATGATGTTGATTATCCTTACCCTGCTGTGTGTCAGGATGATTCAATTATCATTGCATGGACAAAGCACGATCAGGGTCTGCTGAGCATCGACCAGTACACAAAGGAGCTCAAGTACATCAAAAACATTCTCACTGATTTCAAGATAATCGTAACATTTAATTGCTATTTGCAAGCATTCAAGACGGGAGAGATTGCTTTCTGCACTGATGAAAGGCTTTACATCTTCCATGAGACATGGGAGTAAATTTCAGTTTTGCAGATGAAACGTGGAGTTGATCAAACTTACAAACCCAAACATTTCAGATTATTATTCGGTCCAATTGAACAAATGCACCATATCTACTCTTGCCTGCATGGTTTCCGTTGTCATATTAGTCACCAACATACTCAGAATAAAAATATGTATTAAGGCACCTCGTAGCATGTCTGAATATGAGTATATTATGAGTACCTTACTGCCCAATAATTAGGATATATGGGGCACCTCTTGGCCCAAATAATTATGAGATGATGGTTCATCGATTGTCGGGACCTTAAAACTCCCGGATGCACCGCAGTCCTCTCAGTGCCCCTGCCTTGCCAGCCTGTGCCGAAATGTGATTTAAATCAAATAGTCGGTCTAGACTTAGCTATATTATAATTCTATCATAATGTGATTTAAATCAAATAGGCGGTCTAGACTCCGCTCTATTATAATGCTATCATAATGTGATTTAAATCAAATAGTCGGTCTAGACTCCGCTGTATTATAATGCTATCATAATGCGATTCAAATCAAATAGTCGGTCTAGACTCCGCTCTATTATAATGCTATCATAATGTGATTCAAATCAAAAAGTCGGTCTAGACTCCGCTGTATTATAATGCTATCACTATGTTGACCAATCTCATCATGCCGTCGACAGTAGATTATGTAACGTTTACGCTTATGAAGTATCAAGACGTTGCTCTCATTATTGCAAATGGCAGTTATTGTGTAGACAGTTGTAGGTAAATAATTTATTTTATTTATTATTTATTTATTATTTATTCGGCAATTCACACAAAATAAAACGATGTTAATAAAGGTAAACAATCATTAATAATAATAATAATAATATTAATTACAAATGCATAATTTTCCTGGAGGTCCTCTGAGTGCATCAGGTGGCTGCCGGGGAAGAGGAAAGCAAACTAAATCACTGTAATCGTAATGGACCCTCTTCCCGACCAACTGGTGCACCCAGAAGACCTGTAAAATAGAGCATGAAGGTAATTAAAATGTATTTGTAAAACATTTCATAAACAAACCATCTAACAAAAGCAAGCTGGAATTCAAATTAATACGTATGATAACACTAGGTCATGACACGATACTGATCATTAACATGTGGAATTAAGTCTGGCTTAAAAAACTATTGCAAACAAAAGACAAGGGGAGGGGTAGCACACCTTCTAATCGACTGAAAGCATACGTTGCAAATATAATACATAGTCATTCTCGCTATTACAGGGGATGAGCAGCTGCCTCCCTCCAATAAGAATAATGTACTTTATGCTGTTAGACTTATAAATATGATGTATAGACAAAAATACTTAAGCAATTTTGTGTGTCGCATATACATAAAATGTATGTACGAGATCCAGTTAAGTTTTTAAGATTTCCTAGTTATATTTTGAATCAGAAAGGAAATCAGTAGTTTATATCTTAATTTCTACTACATGTAGTTTTTTTTTCTGATATGCATCATAGTGTTCCCCTTCCCTATATGTCTATGATTTATTTATTTGAAAGTAGATTGATTAACTTTCTTTATTATCTTTGAAAGAGCATACAAACATCCTTGCTTATTATCCGCTGTAAAAGTATAATTATTAGTATGTTGAAATTATGTCAGATATCATGTTCCATTGAAATTATGCTACATATGTCATGTTCAATTCACTTATATTTTCTTAAATAAAACAGAAGGAATAAACTTGAAGTATGAATTTGATCACCGATATTTCCAGAAAATAGTCCTTTGTCCGGTGTCATTGGTAAAAACAAAAGAAATTTAAAAAAAGGTGAAAAACCGAGTCATCAAAAGAATTGATTTAAGATAATACATGCAGGAGGTATGTGGAAGCTTCTGTGCATGATATTCGTATTATATGTCAGGGGTTATAAAGGCAAGCGTAAAGGTCAGCAATCAAGAAGAAATCGAAAAACCAGAATACGACTTATGCCATGATAAAGATGTTCCATCGACATGGTATGAGCATTAAGACTATCCTTAATCGAGCGAACGACGTCAAACTGTCTTCAGCATTCTTAGCATCCGACTCGTTTTCGAGTTTTCATTAAATACTGAGGGCCTTTAAGTTGTGAACACCTAAACGGACCTATTGTCGCTAGCGGGGGAGGAGGGGGGGGGGTGCCCCCTTAGTTACGGGTCTGCATAGTGACTAAGCATGATGTCAAATATTCTGAAATTTCTGGGATAACTACCCCACACCACGCCCCACGACTTCCGTGGGATAGCTGCTTCATTCAGTTATGGGTTCAATTCACTGAATTCACTAAACAATATCGACTCTCATGACCATAACAGCATTTAAAAGGCTCATACACAAGGGAATCGGCATGCATGGAGGTGCCCAAGGCATCAATGGAATAAAAGTGTTTAATTTAAAACAAAGGAATACGTATTTACCACAGACTTTAGAGAAATAAAGAAAATTTGAATAATCATTATTTAACGGAAACGACCTTATTCTCGAATTAACGAAGTCATCCAGTTCAAGAATATAATACTGAAGAAAAGTATTCAAAAAAATAATGCAGTCATACACATTTAACTACCGGTAGATTAGATTATTCGAAATGGGAAACTACTGACTTAGCGCCTTGCTGATGACATGACGGTTATCCGATTTTCCCTTCAAAAGTATCGAGGGGCTGCAACCTCCTAGCCCCTGCCTCAAATACTATTGATGGAGAATGAGAGAACAAATAATGATGAAAACAAAAGAAAAAATATTATTTTCCAAGAGTTTTATTATTATATATTGTGGCAAGATTCATCATCATCTATAAGTTTCAAATGAAAGAGGGCGCAATAAATATAACTAAAAGAGCAAAATCAATCTTCGTAAATTTAGCGCAAACGCAAACGAAGCTTGGGCAGACACTTGTTCGACGATTACCCGGCCAAAATTACTTGAAATATGGTAATGTACCTATTATGGCATACAATTCGCTCATATCTGCTATCCCAAATGAATGGAAAAGGGAAATAAGGAGCCATCTATAAGAAAAAATGAATTAAGTGAACCACATGATGATCGATTACACAATTTCCTGAAACACAAACAAAGTTTCTAAACTATTTTACTCTATTTTTATACGTAGTTATACTATTGCTTTGTCAAAAACAGATCAACAACTCAAATGGGTAAATGATCTGTCACTACAATTATCAGATGACGAAATATGGAGGTCTCGTTTTAAATTTGTGAAAGTTGTATAGTAACCTTGGCACTTCAGATTGACTACATCGATCACTGTGATGAATTCCTATTTGTTCCAACACCAAAAGGATCCGGGCTAACTCGGCCCACGGGACTACTCGGCCCAGCTGGAAAAACTGGGCCGAGAAGTCCCGACCTGATTAAACGATCGAAAGATACCAATGTGTATAGGTTTGTGCTCTTTGTGACTTAATAATGCCCTTTCCAACCAAAATCTTTTATGGAATTGTGTTAAATGTTACTAATGAAGACAATCTATAACTTATCTTTAGGTAAACTGACAAAAAAAATGACATTTCGGACAATTTACTCACAGCTCGCAATCCGCATTGCCGCACGTACATTAAATGTGCGTTGTATCTACTCGGACCACTGAAATTCAAGCAGTGTTTTTGTCAGTAAATCACTGCAAAAATATCATTTTTATCTCGTATGAAGGTCTATTTTTTTAAATTCCTGACACAAATTTCGTTGTTGAGAAGTCGAATATAGTACATTTTAGACGAGATGGTTGATGTTTGTTCACATTCTTTCGTCCTGGCCGTAAATTAGCAGACTACTGCCTAGTGCTACCGCAGCAGCTCAGCTCAGTGTGCAGCTAGCCGTATTAATTAATTTTTATTTGCAAGTAATGCCTTCGTTCGAGATAAATATAAAGAATAATTAGCAATGATTAGCATGTTCATTAGTAACATATTTGTTTAATAACACGGATTAAAAGTTGATTAGAAAAACACTAACCATGCACAAAATACATCAAATACTATAACCAATGCCTTCCTTGTTATGTATATTATATGATCTGCATATTATAATGCCCTTTACATTGTACTTAATGTAGACACATATAACAATGCTTCTGTGTTGACATGAGAGATAATTAGTGCAAGAGCTAATTAACTTATAACTAATTAAGTTTATGCCAACTGTAAGTTTCAATCGGATCCAATTGAAACCACTGATTGAAACCAGTTGAAACCAATTGAAGCCAACTGGTTTCAATAGGGAAATTGGAACAACTGGTTCCAGTTGAAACCAATTAGGCAATTGGAACCAGTTGGCAATTGGTTTCAACTGGTTTCAATTGGAACCAGTTGGCAACCAGTATATATAACTATTACTATTATCATCGTTGCTATCAATCTTGAGAGCGAATAAGCAAAGAGCTTGAAACTATTATCAATTTTCAACTCTGTTTTTTTTAAAGAATAAAAATCACTCAACCCAGGACCCTTAATTTTTCACGGAGTGGTCTTTTCCGACTTAAGTGAGAATAATCATTTCTATTATACAATAATCGATAAGATGACAAAATAGAGAATCAATTAAATCGATACGCTAGTAAGCAATTTTTGCACATACATATATATTTTTAAATTAAATCTCAGAGTACCATATTATGATGGAGATACTCTTTTCATCTTTATGCTTATTACACCGATCTTATTTAACATTAATTACTTAGATACAAAATAATAAAGGATAGTTTCATGTTTTACCTTGCTTTATAAATATGGTAAAGATAACGAGATTATGAAGCCACTGTTACAGGGATGATATGTACAAACAATAAACATTGAGGGTCAATTTCTGTTTACAGGTTTAATTCTCAATATGAAATCAAATCGTGAGTTTGCTTTAACATAATCTGTTGTTAAAGGTGTATTCACATACATATAACATATAAAGGGCATTCTCAAGCATAGTATCTCCTTATATCATCTCAAGTTCACCTTACTTGCCCTTAATTTC